AGGTAATTTAGAGACGATTTTGTTTACTTCATTAGTTTCCATATCCGTGTCTTTATTTTGTGATAGGGCACTGAATTTATTACGAGAGAGAGATTGCATGTTAGTCGTGGTTTTAATTGTTTTTGATARCTGACTTTGTTTATCAGAATTTAAACGTTTATGAGATTTGGAAGAGACGACCTCAATCCAGTCGTAATTGAAAACATCGTTCATATCGGATTCGCTTGATTGGCTGACTCTTATTCTTTTTCTTTTGTACGGTGTTTTGGCTTATAATTTTAATTGGGGAGATAGTCTTAATTTTATTAGTGTTCATTTTTTATTAGGTGTTGTTTTACGTAGGTAAGTGAAAGATACGCGGTTGGRAAGACGGTCTGTTATATGTTATATTATAGGTTTAAATAATTAAAATAATTRCAAAAAGTCTTGCCTTGGGATTTTGGACCCCAGACGGACAATGATATTTTTTTGTTAAAAAGCACTTAAAATTGTTTGCTTTTTAAAAACTTTTYTCAACAAAAACGGTTAAGTATTTAGTTTAATTTTTAATAAATTAGTAATCATCGATTAAATTAGATGCACACATTACGAGTGCGGGACGTGGAATATATTTAAATTTAAATTTAAATTTACATCATTTTGTATTTTCGTTCTTCTTGTCATGGAAYACAGATGTCTAAAATTATTTTCGATTAATTTCAGTCACGTTCCGTTATGATTATGATTATACTAAATATCAACCAATTGAAAGCTGAGGATAAAGTTATAAAGTAAACATTTACATCATTTATTCTATTTAAAAAAGTTTTAAGTTAGAAAGAAATTATTTTATTTTCGTAAAAATATCTATTAGGTATATGTATTTCAAAGCTGAGTAAAAAAAAGAAGCTAATTAGAGTTTTTATTAGAAATCAAATTAGATTTATTAATTCTGAATGAATTGCTTTTACAATTTTTTCTCTACAAATTTTTAAGTCTGCTTTGAAAGTTTCAATTAGCCTTTGAAAGTTATTTTCAATTGGAAATCAAGTCTGTTGTTTTTGATTTTTTTTAAATTTTAATAGATTTTTGCTCAGAACCGATTGGTGTTTAATGCAACGATATAATAATTATGTATGTTGTATTTTAATTTTAAATTAAAATAATGTCAGAACACTCAGAACACAAAATTAATACTTTCAGTATCGATAAATAATTCAACTATATTAAGTAATATTTTGGTTTTTTTTAAATTTTTAAATCAAATTATACAGGTATATTTTTTAATAATCATTAAATTTTGTCATTACATTATTTTGATTAGTAAAATATGAAGGGTGATTTTATTATATTTGAGTCATTGCAAATGTAACATAAATGGAATATAATTTTAATTTGTAGATATTCGTTTTTTGTTCGAAACATTTTGCTTGATTATATAAATGTATATGTAAATTAATTTTTATTCAATTATTTTTAGATCGTACCTCCTGTGCCAGAAACTAATTCTGGGTCTGAATCATCAGTGCCGGAACAAGGCACTAGATTCAGTAAAATCAGGCAAACGCTATCATCAAGTTTAATGACAGCACAAGACAAAAGTAAGAAATTTGTATCATATATTTAATTATTTTATTTCATGTTTATCTAAGAATAAAATGTTTATATCAAGAACTTTGAGTTAAAAAAAAATATATAGTACCATAGCAAGTGTGTGGTGGCATGTGCATCTATTATATTCGATTCTATTATTATAATAATAACTACTATGTTGAAATATTTGAGTCCTAAGTTAGTTTGAGTATGATTGTATTCATGCTATGTATTAATAAATTATATTATTATAGACTTAACTTAAATAGTTTCAAATAWATCATTCTGAATTCAYCATAGTTACTATTTAATAACTACATTTAAAAATAATGAATTTAGCATTTGTATGTCAATATTTCAAACTTATTGGTTTCGTGCACGTTAAACTTTATTTGAAGGTTTCTTTAGACAAGTGTATAATACATATTAGTCATTAGTATATATTTACCTTTAATTATATTTAATGTATATATATATATATGTTATATAATAGTATTTAAGATTATTAAATTAAACCTACAATAATGCAATTGATTTAATTAGTTTATTCAAAATATGTTATTTAATATATGAATTTAATATATTTTTAATTAATTCAATGGATTGAATGAAAGAAAATCAAATTAAGTCTAAAATTGGTCTTTTAGCCACCAAATTATTTGAAACTAAAATGTGCTTATTACATTATAGTTATATTTTTATAATGTTTTGGTATAGTCACTAGATTATAAATTATTTGTGAAAAATTGATGATCATCTATAATCTATATAATATGAATCAGTATTTAAATGAACCATTCTTATAAATATAGTTTAATTTAGATAGATGGAGTTTTAAGAATTTCTTGAAGCATTTATCAACATAATTTTAAGACCCGATATGTTTATCTTTGGTTGAATTATTGGGCATCTATAAATTAGTAAAGCTATTTAGAGACCCTTGATAATTTAATATTATACCCAGATTATATCCTTTATCAAACTAACCCATGTGGTACTGATACCTATATATATATAATATAAACGTTAATAAATTTATGTTTAGTAAACAATATATATTGTATACATACCTATATACGATGTAACATATGCACATAACCGCATTATTATAATTTGATTGGAGATTGTATACCTATGTTGAATAAGTGATAATATTTTTAATCCATAMATTTTGATTTTTAAATTTTAAATACTAATGTTAATGAAGAATTGATCATTATTACGGGTTATTAATCGTTAATCAGAGTTTAAATTAAATTTAAAAAATAATGTGTTAGAAGATGCTTTCAAAAATCAACAAATAAAAAATCCATACCTAATGCTACATTTGTACAATAATAATATTTACTAAGGCAAAACCTATAGGTTTTTAAATTCTCCCAGGGTTTGTATGCACATAGTTAATGAATATTATTGTTAAAAACTAATTAATCAAAAAAAAGTTATTGTAAAYAAAAAGTGTACTCTCAGATAATAGCTTTAACTTATGCAAGTATCTACATAGCGAATATTATTAGTATATAATCTAGGATAACTTCTATCATAATAGTACTCTAAAGTACTTACATTTTAGGGTAAATAATGAATTTTTATTCTATATTATCTCCTTGGTTAAAATACAACGTTATGCTTATGAATAAAGTAGAAAGGTATGCCTATTTATATTTTAAAAATATACTATTTACTATMTTATAAAAAGTAACGGTTCATTAATAATCTAAAACAAATAACTTGATTATACTTCTCATACTCAATAAACCTAATTTAGATTGAAAGTTTTTTTTTCAAGCCATTGATCCATTAAAAACAAATTATTTTAACTTTCATGTTGGCAGACAAAATGTACGTCCAATAATTGCAAACCATTTCCATTTGTCGATAAATGGGTGGGTGTGGCGTTATAGATTAAGGTTAATCCAAAACTATCATGTGGATAGCCGTCCGTGTAAGTAAAGATTTCCCATGTGGAAAAGAGTGCCAGAGAAATATTTTTTACCTTATTCTCTGTTGATCCCAAGAAATTGGATACTATTTTTATTGTTATTATTCTTTTTTTTCTCTCATATTATGCGTATATGTACCATAAAGACACAAGTGTTAAACGGTTTTCATCTTTAATTGTCCTAGTAAAACATGTTGATATTTAAAAGTTTTAAAGTCTTACTTCGTAAATAATTTTATAAAACTAAATGGTATTATAATAATATTAATTTATCATTGTAGATAATATTTAAAAAAAAAAAACCAAGATTTATATGTCGTTTAGGTAATTTGGGACAAATTAAAGCAAACTATGGGGAGAGTGTTAAAATGAAGGCTATTGGATGCCTTAAGTGTTGAATTTAAACTTGAATTATTGGCATTTAATAAACCTATTTAAAAATCGAAAAATAAATACTAAAAATAAATAAAAAATAAGGTTCCTCATAAAGTCCTAAATATCCTAAATATAAAAATAAGCACTTTCTTCAAATTTTCAGCAAATCAATTTCTAAAACTAAATTAAGTTGAAATGTATTAAAATGTTTATACGAAAAAAAATATTTAGGTAGGTACACAGTGCTATAACTTTACTACCATTTTGTTGATCTGATTTGTTTTCATACATTGGAATAATAATTGTGGTATACTAATCAACTTATTATAGTTATTTTAATTTTGAATTAGAAGCTTAAGCGAACATTTTTTCCAGCATCATACATTAAAATAAATACCGTTCTTATGACAAAATAAATTTATAAGTGATAATAGTACTAAATATACCAATCTCCTAATAACTAATAAATTATAATCAATATGAATAGGTGTCGATTATACCAATGATTATAATATTAGTCGTAGTTGGTTAATTGTGTAAAAACAATAGCGACTATCTCTAATACATATCATTGTTAATGAAATATTACTTATTTTTAAATTCAAGTATATTATGAACAATTATGAAAGTTCACAAATTATAACAAGTGTCTAACAAAAAAAAAAAAAAATAATTAAATAAAAAAAAAGGAAATATATATTACAATAAAGCTGTAGGTGATTTTTAATGTTTCAAAAAAAAAAAAATTATAATTTCAGCCATATCTTATTGTTACCATTTACCTGTCTCAAATACATGTTYAAGGTATCGTCCCGGATATACCTTTATAATTCACATGTCGTATATTTATGAACGGAGAGTAACATAAACATAAAGATGAAAACAAGGGCAGTTTTCATTAGCTAATGAAAGTAAATATCCAAACGGGATTATCGTTTAACGGGATGGAAACGTTTTAATGGCACCCAATGGGTAGTTACATGGCTAGTACAGACCAGTGTTGTGTGAAAAAAAACCTAAAGATAAAATAAAAAATAAAATCACTTATAATAGATAATAATTTATACTGGTAAATCGTTATGATCCAAACAAAAATAATAAGCGATTTTTTTTTTATTCATTCATGATTTTCAACATCAACTCATGCATAATTTTCCCATTACGCTTCTTACAAATTACGACATCGATATATTCTTAATATTTAGGTAGTTCCCGCAAACAGGTGGATGTAGGTATATATTATTATCATTGAAAACGTTGCAAAAAAAAGAATAAACTACTTTTTTTAGTGTTTTTCTACGGTTTTTTTTTAGACTATTGGGAATCGTGAACTTTTAAAACGCCCAAAGTACAATCTACGTCCCAATTTAGAATCGATTGACATTCTCTATGCAACTTTTGGAGCGGTTTTACTACCCTAAAAGTGTTTTCTGAAAAATGATAATAAACTGAAAACTGTAAAACCAATAGCTTCTACTCTTCACACCAAAAATAGAACAAAAAACATTGAAAGTTTGAAAAAACAATTTTAATACTTATTTTACAACGCATTGAATGTAGGTTTATTTGGGTATTGAATGATTCTTGTAGTCGTTGACTCGTTGTAAAAATATGTTACAAAAATCTCTAAAAAATTGACTTGGCAATTAATGTTTGATTGTTGTGATATCATAACACAAAAAGCCGTTATTATTTTTTTAAATTGAATACCTTATTTAATATTTCAAAATATGCAGCTACTTGTATTTTTTTATTCTTTTCCATAATATTTATACATTATTGTTTTTCAAAATCGTTTAAATTTTCTTGTATCTGCTATTATAATCTAATACATAGGTACGATATATTATACAAAACAAGTTTTGAAGAGAATTAGTTATTTTAATACAATGATTTATCCTACGTACATTTATAGTTGTAGTGTGAACCTAGAGCACATCTAAGGGTGTTTTAGCTCAATACTATACTGTATGATACATATATGGTACATTGCTATTACCCATCAGTGGTGATTGGTTTTAGTATTTGACCAGTTTATACATATGTTATATATTGTGTTGTCTAATTTAAATTGTGTCAACTCAAATTAGACAAAATATATTTTATTTGCATGACACAGTGCGTTTCGTAAGTTT